TGAGTGAGTGTGAGATTGTGTTTGAGTGTGTGTCTGTGTCTGTCTGTGTTTGTGTGTCTGTGTCTGTGCGACTGATCCAGATGTACAGGAACTCAAATGTTTCCTGCTGTCCAAAAAACATTAAAGCACATGTTTAAAAATAGATGTGCGGCTCAATCCGTGTCCAATCCTCAGGACATGAGCCGTGAGGACACACACACACACACACACACACACACAGACACACACACACACACAGACAGACAGCTGGAGGGAGGGCTGATCTCTCTCGGGGTTTCATTCTCATTCCTCCATTACACTGATTCATTGTGTGTGTGTGTGTGTGTGTGTGTGTGTGTGTGTGTGTGTATTTCAGTGTCTATGCATCTCCGTGACTCTGTGTGTTTGTGTGTGTGTGTGTGTGTGTGTGTGTGTGTGTGTGTGTGTATTTCAGTGTCTATGCATCAAGTCTGTTTTCCTCACTCATTCATTTGTTCATTCACAGACACACACATGCACTCACACACACTATACACACACACACACACACACACACATTTCAGTCTTATGTAAGAGACTGATTTTGGGTTCTTCTGATAATAGATTTGAGATTAGAGTTGAAAATCTCTGACTGATATATGATCAAGTTTCAGTGTGACGGCACTGATGATGACAGCGAGCTGTGGTTGGTGGTTTAATTCTATTCTGTGTTCTGTTAGGAGATTTAAATAAGATTTTGAAGATTTTTGAACAGAAGATTTTGTTCCATTAAGAAGTTTAAAAATTGGTTGTTTCATTCCATTAAAAGATTTTAAATATTAGTCATTCTGTTCTATTAGTTTTTGTTTGAATAACAAATGTAATAAAATTGTTGCGATTCTCAAAAAGTATTGATGAAAATACAATCGGCTGTTGAAGATGAGAAGTCAATGAGTGTTGAAGTGATTACGAGATTGATTCAGTTTGGTTCTAAGCGAGAGAAAGATTTAGAGTTATGAGCGTTTGTTTGCAGTGAAAGAGCTGCTGTGATGTGAGTGTAACATTCAACTGATTTCATTAGCAGTCATTGAAGTGAAAATGTTAATTAATAGAGGCTAAGGCTGTCATTTTAATTAGCAACATCTGTGATTTCAGACAGAATTAATATATTGTGATGTCGGTTTGGTTTAGAGCATTAGCTTTATAACAGATCAACATGTGTTTGCTGCCGAGTCAAGTCAATGTGCTGATCATGATCAGGATGTTTTCGTGTGTGTGTGTGTGTGTGCCTAACAAACCATACATCAATGGAAAGCTTTTTTATTCAGCTTTCAGAAGACATATAAAACTCAATTTCAAAAAATTTACACTTAATGACTGGTTTTGTGTGTGTGTGTGAGTGTGTCTGTGTCTGTGTCTGTGTGTCAGGCGGTGTGCCGTTCGTGTTGACGGGGGAGCTGTTTGAACAGTCGTATCGTCCGGCTGCGTTTATGATCGCAGGAACCGTCAACTGGCTCTCAAACTTCGCTGTGGGACTCCTGTTCCCCTTCATACAGGTGACTAAAACACACACACACACACACACACTACACAAACACAGTGTGTGAGGGTGATGTGAGTTCTTTAGTCTTGCACGTATAATCTGATTCTCGTAATCCACTGCAGGTCAGAGCGCGACACAGAAAAGCACTTTTATTCTCTTTAATGTGCCTGAATGTCGCTCCTGCAGCTGTGAGAATCACACACTGCTCCACTCAACATTGTGCTTCTGTAGGTTTACACATAGAAATTAACATTTCAGATGTGTGTATTCAAACATGCATGAATGAGTTTACTAGATTACTTGAATAAATCCTGTTTGACTCAGTCAGTAACATTAGCACAGTATGAGTCGACTACATAGCATCCATCCATCATTTAATCCTTGAAATTATTATTTTAATTTTATAACTAAAATTAACTTTAAAATTAATGAATGAATAAATAATATTTCATTTTAAATTAAATTTATTTTAATTTATTAATCTTTAAGATAAGTACTGTATTTCAATTTGCTGTAATTAAACAATAATAATAAATAATTTTATTTATTTTATCCCTAAATAATAATAAATTATAAATAAATAAATAATAGTTAATTTATTTTAATTTAATTTAACTGCTATAATTAATAATAAATAGTTAATTATTATTTTATTTTATTATTTTATCCTTAAGATAATTATTTTGTTTCAATTCAATTACTACAACTTTTTTATTTATTTAAGTTTTATTTCAAGTCGTCACCTTTATTTATATAGCGCTTTTAACAATACAGATTGTGTCAAAGCAACTGAACAGCATTAATTAGGAAAATAGTGTGTCAATAATGCAAAATGACAATAGTAAACACTAATTTTTCAGTTAAAGGCAGTTCATCATTGAATTCAGTGATGTCAACATCCAGCTCAGTTCAGTTTAAATAGTATCTTTGCAATCATTTGCA